GACATGATTGTGTGGGTAGAAATTGCTAGTGTCAAATTTTGATTTTCAAATGATTTTGAAACATTGATGTTGTGATGATGTTAGACATCAATGTTGCGATAGCATTGGGTGTTGTTGTGAAGCCTTAGCTGCAATTTGCAGATATAAATAAAAATGGTATGTTTGAGAAATGTGGTATTGAGTGCGGACAATTGATTTGTGGCAATTAAGAGGAAATAAAAATTAAGTTTTATTTTTAATAAATAAAAATTGAAATATAAGAAATTATATTTAAAAATTTTCATAAAATATTTAAGACATGCATGTCCAATTTATTTTAAATATAATTTTAATCGGACATGTCTTAGGCATGTCTAATATGTATCGGAGGCGTGTCGAACGCGTGTTGTGTCCGATGTGTTAGACACTGCATACCTCATTGAGGAGAAGTGTAGGTGCAGCATAGATGCCAAGTAATAATTTAGTGGTGGTTTGATAGAAATCTCACACAAAAGGCAGGATCATTAAAGAATTTCATGATTGATTGGAAAATCACTTTAGGATTGGGAAAATAGATAGATTGCACCATATTTGAATGTATTAATCATGCCAAGCATCAAATAATAATTCAGGTCTCATTCTGGTACAAAGAGAGAACTTTTACTAGAAATTTTTAGTTTTCACTTGCATAAATCTAAAATGAATCCCCATATAACCAACCGCTTAAATAAAGAGATTTTTTTTTAATCAAAGTAGAATATTAATGGAGTTTTCTTCTTGCATGCCTCAAGCACCCTTATTTATAATCGCAATTTCCTCTTAAATAACAAAAAACAATATAGGAATGCCAACCTGTCAACCTCTTCCCAAAAAGATTGAGTTGCCAATTTAATGTAAAAAAAAAATGCTGAAGAATCGTTATCAGTTGGCTTTTGCTACAACCTGAATTTTTGCAATATAAGGTCATGGTAACAACATATCCATAAATCACATAAGAAACCACAAGTCATGGCAAAAAGCAAGGCCGCAAGACACGATTGAAATAGGGATGAAAGTCTTCTAATAGATACAATCCGGCATCAATCTGAGTAGGAGAATTTAACTCCAATGAATTGCTCTGTTGATATTTTTCAAGTATGACATAATTGTCGCACTTCCTGTGCTGAAATTTATGAATAATTACTTGTAGTCCTTTTTTGTCCATGCTATATGATATCTTAGTTATTTATTATCAACAATGGATATGATTTTAGCTTCAAAATCAGCTTTAGACATAAAAATAATATGGAAATTATAGTATCATGTAGACGATGTGCTAGTGATGAACTTTAAAGGAATTGGAAAGTGGGGAAAATCTTATGCATTTGTAATCAAAATCACATATATTGATCCGATGATTAATACAAAAATTTCTTAAAAATTTTCAATTCGTAAGCATTCATCCTAATGCGTTGCATGATTTAATATGTTAGTGCTTTCGTAGAAATTAACTTTTTAGGGCTTTTATAAGATATCTCTGAGGATTTAAATAATTCATTGTTTTATCATCTAATTTTAATTTCATATATCTCATATTGATATCTTCAATAGACTTTAGTCAGTTTCTTGCAAATATTTTCATGCGAATCATGCTTATAATCAATAAATAATGCAAAGGAATTAAATACCAAAATACTAAAATGCTTCTTGATGAATACTAGTGAAGGCACTATAATTATGGACCTTTAATTGGCATGGGGATGGTTTTTTAAATATTCAGTTTCATTTAAGATAATTATAAGATAATTATCATAATAAATCTTTTGAATTGTTACCTTTTTTATGGATTTGTGATTCAGGAAATCGATAACCAAAATTTTACTTCAATTTGATTATTCATCATAGTAATAATATGACTAAATAATATCTCAAGAAACTTTTTATTAATTTGATCAATTAATTCGTTAAATGTAATAAACATGATTTGTCCTTTTTCACATTCAGAAATATATTCTATTTCGATTAGAAGTTCAATCATATATGAACTCTTATATTCCATTTCTATCAGAGGTTCGTCTTTGACAATGTGTTTTTTTATGTGGTAATTTCTCCATCCTATTTTAGTCTATGTCATTTTTATAGGTTCCTATGGTCGAAACCTTAAACCTCCTTCCATATATGAAATTAGAACTTGGATATTGAAGGAAGAATTGAGCACCACCAAAGCTATCATTAGAAGATTAAGAAGACATGACCACAAATCATAATAATCTAGGATGGTTGGTTAGATATAAGAACTTTATCAATATTCTTTTTAAAAATCCCTTTGGCACTATCTTTTAACATCTATTGTAGCGTCAAACAATGTGAAAGATGCTTAATACATTTCTAAATTACTTGACGGGTTATTAAGGAATCAAAGATCATCTTGTTGTCTCAATTTTTTATGAAAATGCAAGTGCTTGTAAGATTGTAGAAGATAAATTGATGAAGAGAAAACATCTTTATTGAACTCCATGTGTAGTATATTATATTGGTTTAATACTTGAGAAATTTTGGGACTTTCAATAGCATGAGACTGTTTTAATTAAAAGAAAGAAAATAAACGTGTTTACCTATGACTATATTTTAGTTTTAGCTTTAATGTTGTTCTGTAAAAAAGAATTCATTAGATTTTCAACCAGTAGATTTTCTGCAGTGTCCTTTGCAAAATAGCTTAGAAACTAGGCAACCTTTGGAAGTTTATTTTTACACAATGGTTAAGTTATGCATGCACAGAGAATAATGAAGGGAAAGAAGTCAGAAATATTGTTTTAAATGAGAGTTTTGCTAAGTGTATGTTATGCTATCGCAACAGCAAGGCCTTTAATTCATGTCTTGAGAATGGTGCTGCTGCAAAAAAAAAAAAAACAAAGGGTTTCATTTATAATTCTATGTATGAGGCAAAGTGTTGATAATAAAAAACTTAGGTGGAGATCAGGATTACTATAAGAAAATTTGAGAGATTATTACTGAAAAATGAGAGCCTCAATTGCATTGATATTGACATGCAATTGAATGTTATCTAAAACCTTAATATCAGTATGATGAGAACAAAGTTTATAGAGATTAAATTCAGTTTGTATCATTGTATGGATAGAAGGATTTTTAGTTCATTAGAGAGATGGAAGGTTGATCTCCAACTTGTAGCTTTAAAAAATAAGGATTCGTTGAATTTTAACAAGCTAAAAACAATATGGCTAAGCTTTACCCTAGTAAGTAAAATCATAGTTTCTATGGAAGTGAACTTTTGTCGCGTATATATATATACACACTTCCAAATTACAAATGTTTGCATTCAAAGTGTGGGACATGCATGCTCTTCATCAGGGTAACGAAATTCATTCCAACAGAAAAAATGGCTTGACTATCATAAGTATAATCTCATTGATTTACATAATGTATAACTAGATATTAGAAGATGGACATTTGAGGAAGAAAATTTTGGAGATGATGAAGATCCCTTAGTCATTCATGAAACTCCATCTGAAGAAAATGATTTTTGCAGAATAAAAATTGAGTTTCATCCTCATAATTACTAGAGGAAAATCTCGGTGGTGATTTTTATGTAGGAAAGACAAATAATAGCAACAGTTGATGAGCAAGTGATAAAAAGGTTTGTATAAAATATTATATAATATAAAATATAAAAGATCTACATAGTCATTATTTTAATTAATATTCTTATTGAATTTTATTGACTAGGAAAGAAGAAGATTATTGAGGCTGAAGATAATGAAGAAGAATGGGAGGATGTTGCACAACTGATGATAATAGAGATGAGAAAACAATCAATTATGATAATGATTTTAAAGAATATCCTTCAAGTGATCAGAGTGAGAGAGGTATTTTAATTTGGAGTCTAAGTCAGAATTAGTTTATTTTAGGATGTGTTTACTTATTTATTTTTTTCTTCTTATTTATATATATATTTTTTTATTTTAGATTTCTTGCTTATTATAGGGCTCTTGTATGCCTTTTCATGATATTTCATTGTGAATTAAAAATATTATTTTCAATTTTTTATTTTTCATTTTTTTAATTAATTTAATGTATAATTTTGAGGCTTACATCTCAAAAAGCCTTACAGGCTTATGCATCACCTCACGAAAAGAAAAACACCTCAATACTTCATACATAATTTTAAACCTAGTCTCAGAGTTATCCCTATTTTTCAAGAGTATGTTTGCGGTAACTTGTTATTGAACATCAAATACATTGGTCAAGAACACAGAACGTCTTCATGTTTTGCTGACTGCTAATTTTTTTTTATTAGATTAATAATATTATTGTTTTCTTACTTATTTCTCTTTTAGGGGAATGTATGAATAGATCTTTGGCAAAAATTAATTTTGAGTCTACATTAGAACTTGATAAGAATAAAAATTATTAATTTTTTAGTATTGCTTGGCTAGTTATCATCCAGGGAAAAAAAGATCATTTTACTAGGAATGATGCCTAAAATCATATTATTGAAGTACCATTTAAAAATAGAATTTGTTACTTTTACTTGTACCTGCATTAGCACGGGAGGTCCCTGCACTTGGTATGTCAATTTTATTGAAATTAAAACTCAAGTTTTGGAATAAAATCATTGAATTTGAGTAACAGGTGAAGCATATATTACTGGATATTCTATCATACAATTCTGGCCATTGATTAATGAATAGGTGGAGCGTGCTTGATTATGGCATTTCCTCTCTTCCTGGTTCTGATGGAGGTGATTCAGATCAACGGTCTTGATTTACATTATGAATGATCAAATTCCAAGCTTTACAAGAAAGGAAATGAATAGGAAAAAACAGAGTTTTAAATTGATGGTGCGGGAAACTTTTACATTACACGTTTGTTGTTTCCATGCTTACATTTCATCTGCTTTACGTGCAATGGAATGATATTTTGTTTATTTAGTGCTGAACAAATTAATATAGCTTTTTAAAATATTTTGCGTGCAATCTCTTTAAATTTACACTTCTGAGATGCATAATTTTCCTTATTTTCAGGCGCTTCGTTCTCTTTCTATTAGAAAATTGATAATACCTGCAATATCTGAGCTAACGGAGACGTGGACTGCTGTTTTTGGCTTTAAGCCACTTGACATTTCGCAAAACCAAGAATTAAAATCTGTAAACATGCTGGTTTTCCCTGGCACTGGTCTGCTACAGAAGTCTTTGCTAAATGACTCAACTGAGAAGCTTACAAATCCCGAACTAGGTAAGCAGTGAACTTCAATTCCTTTTTTTTGGTTGAACATTTCTTCATCTTGCTACATTATTAGCGTTATTGTAGTTTTCTTTTTTAATAGCTTATAAGTGACTCGTTTGTCATGTTGCAGAAAACAAATCTGAAACCCAGATCTTAGTCGAAGCAGGCAAAAACAATTTGCCTGATGAGGCCATGGATAGCAAAGAATCAAACTGCGATGCAGAAGCCATAAAACCTGACATACCTGTTTTGGAGAACCCTACTTCTAATCTACCACCAGAAGAATCAGGATGCCATGGACAGTTTTGCAGATCTACAGATAGCGTTGCAGATGCTGAATCAAATGATTTAAAAAGTGTAGTTTCCTGCGATAATCATGTTGAAAATGATGTATCTTTGAGAAATTGTTCAAATGAGGTAGTTCCATGTAATGACGAACTTAAAAAAGAGCCTGAGGACGTGATGCCTCCTGCTCAACCTTCTTTTCCCCACGCTGCTTCTGAGTTTCTGGACGGAAATTTTGGATCCGAAGCTTCAGATCTTAAACCTCCACAAAATCATTCTTATTCTGAATTACTTGTTACAGATGTAGTTGAAAACTGTAATTCTGAGGAAGATGAACCAAAACTTGAAGATAGACCTCCTTGTAATGGGATAGCGCATGATTCTAATGCAAAACAAGGTGAATTTATTGAAGCAGACGTAGATAGATCGCATGAAATTAATCAAGTGAATTTAACGTGTGATGCAAATGGAGGACTGAATTCAAATGTAAATCAAGACAGTATTGAGGTGTCCATTGATGGTGTAAAACATTTGAATATTTCTTCTGGGAATGGCAGTTATCCATCTTCTGGAGTTTGTGAAAATGGTTCAGTGCCTAATACTGAACCTTATTGTTTAGCTTCTAACGAGAGCACTTCTCAGGAGAAATCTGACTTACTTGATCAGTTGACAGTTAATGATTCTACTAAAAGCCCTGTTCGCACAAATTCAACTGCGGACGATTTACCGAGCAAACTCAAAGAATCAACTCCTGAAATAAATCAGCAATTTTCAGCTGCTGATGAAGTTAGTGATGATTGCCATGTAAGCATTGTGGAAAATGATGCAGATATTGACGAATCAACTATTAATCAATCATCGAAGATGGTGAAGTAGTCCAAGTAGATGCTTTGAATTTTGTAGAGGCTCGTTACAGTTGTTTTAAATAGGTAAATTCCAAACATTTTCCTTGTTTTACATTTGAAGGTGATCAATTTGAAATGTTACAATGATATAAAGTTGGCCAATTTGTGTTTGTTGATCAGCTTGATCATTAATTAACATTCTTTGCTGACTTTTATTGATGTAGAGCTGGTTCTCAGTCATTCTGCCAACTCTTGAAATAGTGCAGTGATATACAGATCTCCTACTGGCCGAGCTTCCAGGCTTCAAGCAGGTATTTATGGACCATGAACTAAATGCATCAATCGGTATGCATGCCATTCATATTTCTACTTTGTCTTAGTAGCATTCGTAATTTTCACAGTATCTGCTAGTTTTGCCCCAACTAATTTGAATGGGGACTTATGCATATCAACAATGACCAAAATTCTTTTGAGAATCCTGTGAAAAACCTGTTTTTGACTAATATGAATTTGCATGACTATGCCAAAGAAAGCTAAGTGAAAGAGTCATTACTGAAGAATGTAATTTGTATGTTCATATCATACTTAATGTTATGCAGCTGTAATTAGGAAGCTAGTTTTCTACTTTTGCTAAATAAGGTTTTGTTCAGGACGGCTTTCTTACTGTTTCTTCAAATAGCTTTTTTAATAAAAAATTAAATTTTACTAACTGTTTGCATGATTAATGCTATATTGCACATCTTTAAACAAATTTAAAGTCTAGAATCATTCAACTTGAACAAGCTCGAGTCGAGTTTTGATCAGGCTCAAGACCTATTGAGATAATTTCAAATCTTTACATCTAATTTGGTTCAGCTTAAATATTTGATGTGATAGTAATAGAAAGGAATTGTTCTCCATTTGTTTGGCATTTATAGTTCTTGATAGAGGTTTAGGTTCAATCCATGCCTCCAATTTTTTTGCTCCGACTTCCAATTTATTTTAAGATGGTTCTAAATTGAATTTTCTTGATTAGAAATTTAAATCAATTTGTGTTGAATTTGATAATCTTGAGCTTAAAATTGAGGTAAATTCGAACTCAATTTGTTATTGGCCACATTCTGTCATCCAGTGTAATTTCTTAGGCAAGCTGGATTCACAGACAAAGACAGAATTTAACATTACAAATAACTGTAATTGTAGGTAACAATATGAGCACTTTGAGTCAGCAACAATGTAGAAACTTAAAGTAATAAATTTTTGAATATTTGGTTGAGGCTTCGTTTGGGATGGCTTTCTTACTATTTCTTGAGGCAGCTTTCAAGTACAAAATTTTTATTTTTTATGCTAAAAAAAGGTGTTTTAAGAAGCAGTAAGAAAGCCATCTCAAATGAAGCCTGAATTAATAATGCGAGCAATTGAACCTGTCAATTGTTAGTGTGAGCTTAAGGTTTCGTTTGTTATAACTTTCTTACTGTTAACTAAAAAATTTTTAGTATAAAAATTTCTTGAACTAAAAATTTTTGTATGAGAAAACTGTTTTAAAAAGCAATAAAAAAATTGTCTCAAACAAAGTCTAAGCTGAACAAAATTTTTTGTTGTTGTTTACTTTGCGTTGATTTTGGCTTCAAACTGGCCATCACTTGCAGTACTACATTTTTTTAATAAGGTTTGGTTATGCAAATTATTATAGTGCTATAAAAGTTGGCTTGCTAGTTTTCTTTGGTTTTTGCATATTCCTTGTGATGAAACTTGGATGGATTGGAATCAATCGTGGTTATTGTAATGAATTTAAATACTTTCATTCTTAATGCATTTGAACAAATTTCACTTGATTGTCATGAATATTGGTGCACTATTTGCATTGATTTTTTTTTTTAAATATAAATTTGGGATCCTTTGAATTTTGGTTTCAATAAACTCATTGTCAAACTGAGCTTTCTGAAGTTATCAATCTAACGACATGAAAAATTGATCTAATCTGAGTTAAAATGAGCCCAAATCAAACATTCATTGTGAAAATGAAAACTTTCAATATGCGAATTAAATAATTTATAAATTTTATATACTTATAATCAAGCTGAGCGGCTGAACGAGATGAATCTAGTAAATCTAACCTCACTTGATTTTGAGGTCATTAAAGCATGTAAGTCTTGAATGAATGATTTTTTGATCAAATGATTCAATATGTGAGCCATTTGATGGAATGTTACCAAATTTTTGTTGAATTTATAAAATACTATTTCCATAATTCTATTAATAGACTCTTATTCCATGCATCAATGAGACTTGGATTTGTGTTTGGAGAGGTTGGATATTTGATGAACTGGAGTTCTACCTGATGTTCTATGTTGGCGATCATTGCCATCTATTGTTTTCTACTTGGTTGTTGTTATTTTATTGTCATCATCCGACTATTATCGCTCGTTTATAGCAATTCATGCACCGTCCTTCGATTGCCCTCATCTAACTACCATCGTCGCTTGATTATAGTCACCCGACCATCGTCATCTAATCCACTAGTCGATTGCTACATCTTCAACATTCTCCCTTGCATTCTAGGAAAGGCAAACTTGTCTTATATGCATTGAAATTCTGTTTTCTTCAATTGAGGGGAAAATTGACTCTTGTCATCATATTATAGATCATTTCATTTTTTTTCCTTCTCTTTTTTAATTTTTCACATAAAAATTTTGATGCTATTCTTCTGTTTTCATCATGTGTGTGTTGGAATTTCATGAAAAGCTAAGACATTCAAATTCTCTCTACCAACCCAAATTTTCTAGACACAGCAATTCTCATATATAATTTGAATATCAAATCTTGATTGGCTGTTCTCCATCACTAGTTTATCACATTCTTAATGTTATGTTGGGCAAGTTTTTATGCATTCCAGGATTAAGATGTACTTAGATTTACATTTTCTTACTATTTGATTGACTGATGTAATAACAAGCTTACACATTGTTCAGCTATAATTGTGTGCACTAAGAGAGGTATTTTCTTTGCATGTACTTAATTGCTAAAATTGTCAAATGTTGCTTAGTACAGTGCTGTGTTAGTCCAATTGAAAATTCAGAAAAAAATTGTGCTATGCACCTAACTCCTTATGTGCTTTGTAAGATCTTAAGGCCCATGTCATGTCTCCTTTACATATAGATACCAATTACATTTATCTCCTTTTTTTATAGGATATTTTATGAAACCCAACTGGACATTGATATTGCTTTTTTTTTTTAGGTAATATTTAGGTATTTAGGTCAATTAAGATAAACTCACACATATATCACATATGTAATATTCAAATCAAATATTTCTTAGTTGTTAGTCAAAGCTTCGAATTGACAGACCAAGGTAGGATTGTCAATATTTAACCCGACCCGAAAACCCTACATGGAAATTTTTGCAGCTCTACCGGCATTGCCTTGTCCGTGGGTCGGATCAGGTTAGGTTGACCCGAAGCGGGTCGGTTGGGGTTAGAAGAATTGACTCGTTTGCAAAAACGGGTCAGGTTTGGGTTGATCCGAATAGTGTCGGATTAGTTCCGGATTCGATTCAAACTCGACCCGTGACCCGAAATTGGCACCCCTAGACCAAGGTGAGCTACATTACATGGATATTTCTTATTATTTGGTTATTTATGTTTCATTTGAGATAACTTTTTGTTGCTTTAAAAAAAAAATTATATTAAAAAATTGTTTTATAAAATAATAAGAAAACTATCCTAAACGATGCTTTATATTGAATGATGACTTTTAATTTCTATTAAACAATCTAAAATGGAACATACAATTTGATTTTATAAAAATTAATGTAAGGTTTCTCTTTAAACTAATGGTTAAAAGAATAATTTATCACTCCTTTTTTTTATATATATTTGTGGAGTATGGACAGTGGTTTAAATGACTATCACTTATAAAGTGTAGTTTTTTTTTTCATAATTTAGATCTAACCCTCAATTGATGAGCATCATATGCTTATTCTCATGATTAGATGATGCTTTCTAATATTATAAAATTTGCATTATTTTATGTATTTTTAGGTAGAGTATTATACATTAGCGGCATTGTTAGGTCTTCATCATAAATCTAAGATTGAGACTTAGGTTTTGTTTGGAATAGCTTTTTTTATTATTTTTTAAAGCATATTTCTAGCACCAAAATTTTTATTTTAATTTTTTTTTCTAAAAAGTTGTTTTAAAAGCTGTAAAAAAGTGGTCCCAAACAAAACCTTAATATTTTTTTTTTTTTTTGGAATGAGGTATTCACCTGTTGCCACCTCAGCTTGTGAGGAGCTTGGCGGTGTAATTAATCCTCAACTGACTTGAAAACGACACTCACCATAGAAATATCCTGGCCCGCACTTGATTGTGTTCTACTGAAGAGGCGTTGTCACTCGAGCGGAATCGAACGCATGTTGGGGGGTATCCAACTGCACTTGCCCACCAACAATGGTGGGTAACATCTTTAATTATGTTGTCATAAATTCTCACCTTAAAAAAATTCCTAATGATGATTTCATCAATGTGAAATAATAATACCACTTTGTAATAATATTATCACCTTTAACAAATGTTTCATTGATTTATTATATAAAATGTAAAACTCGACATAAGATATGCCCTCTTTTTGGGGATTTTCAATCTCTTAGGATGATGTTCAAAATTCATCATTTTTTTTATTTTAACATGATCTTTTTAAAGTTGTCCTCTCTCATTTAATATTTTAAAAATCACATCTTTTTAATACAATCTTTGATTTCCTTGATCCATGACTTTAATTAGAATATTTTAATGCTTAATCTCTTGAGATGTAATTAATCGGAGGGGTGTCAATATTTGACCCAAATCAAAAATTTGACCAAAAAATTTCATATTAGGTTCAATGCATTTGAGAAACGGGTCGGATTTGAATTTGGGATTTCAACCCGTTTGTAAAAATGGGCCAGGTTCGGGTTGACCTTGAAACCTAAAACCAACCTGGGTTGACCCGAGAATATCGCACTCGTGCGCACTGTCATGTGATCATGTCTGGTTGAGTCGCTCGTCAGCGTCGTCCCGTGGCTGCATACCCGCACTGCTGGCTGTCGCTGTTCCATCTTGTAGCGCCTGTTAGTTGTTGCGGTGCTTCCCTCATGCTGTCAGCCCTCACACGTTCAGTTGAGTCGCTTTAGATATGAACAATCAAAGCTCAATAGGTCATATTTAACCAACCCAAATCTTTACTGATAACCATTAGTAATGAAATATAATTAATATAAGTAAATTTATATGTACACAAGTGTAAATAAAGTACTCAAAATAACATATAGTAAAAATCTCCATAATAGACCATTTCCTCATAACATAATAATAAAGTAACACAACAGTAAACACAACACGTCCATTCTTGAACGAAAGATCGCAAATATTAGAATTTAGAATTCATGCTCTTATAACGCCCTGTAGCATATTCTTATAACTCTCAATGCTTAGCATCATAGATATTTAGAGATCGCAAGCCTTTATGACTCGCAATAAACATTGCCTTAGAATCTCCGATGATCATCAGAACTTCTCCATATTCACACATTGTATGTATGTAAGCATAGAAATAAATGCATTTTCACATAAAGTTCACAATTTCTTAATTATTATAGAGTTTCATAAAATGTCTTACTAATAGCAAAGTAGATAGAAATTTAGGGAAACCCGAACATAAAATGTAATATTTTTATAAATTTATTTTAATT